AAGTCACAGTTTGTCGTAAAACTGTTGAAATATAAGACTATGAAAAATACGCAACTAGAAAGACTACAAATCACAGAATCCCGGTCCCGCATGCTGGCTCTCACGGAACCGACTAACTCCCCTTGTGTGTATGTACAGCTCTCAACATGCCCAGACTTGTAGTGATTTTCACCTCTTTTAATACTTTTCGCCTCATTTTGAAAGAAAGAAGTGAAATGTGCTAACGCGACGGCCGTCTTGGTGTGTGGTGCAAAACGGGAGATGTAGTTCATTAGGCGCGTTCCCACCGGAGTAATTTTACCCCATACTTTTCCCGTTTAGTTCCGTTAGTACCCCTAGTGTCGCGTTCACACCAAAAGGAGTGCCGGGAACTTTTATCCCCATTTTTAGTACCAAAAAAGTACCAATTTCAATTGGCGGGCGTCAGAACGCCGACACCTCCTCATCACTCCACGGCTCCCATGTTCACACCCCGTAAAACTCTGAAAAGTTTTGTGAAGCCACCATTGTATTTGCTGGCATTAACATCATTAGCATTAGCCCCGCGCACCAACGGAGAGAGAATAACTTATGGCAACACAAAAAAAAACATGGGAGCCGCGGAGTGATGAGGAGGTGTCGGCGTTCTGACGATTTACTCGGAAGGCTGCTGGGTGTCCCAGCAGCTTCTACTGAAGCCAGTCCCCAACTCCGGGGACTTCCGGCCGGGGACTTCGGGTGGCAGGATACGCCGTGAAGTGGTTTGCGGCCTGCCAGTAAACCCAAAGCAGAAGAAGACGAAATGACGTCAGCGGCTCATTTGCGTAATCTTCCCTCAGGGAAAAGTACTCCGGTGTGAACACGATTGGTACTTAGTGCCCTGGGGTAATAAGTGCCGGGGCACTAAGTACGGCAAAGTGCTTGGTGGCTATTGAGCGGTTTCACAAAAAAAAAAGTGTTACTTCAAACGGGATCGAAAGATAATCTTTCTCTCTCCATTGAATTCAATTCAATACATACTTTTTCCGAAATAAGGTCCCATGGAGATCCCCCGGAAAAGGAGGGACTTCGCCTCTCTATTGACCCTAATCGACTATCTAAAGCCAGTGCAGATGGATGTCTGCGTTAGCCAATAGTTACTTTAGAAAGAAAGGTATTTCTGGAAACATTACGAGTGTGTACAGCAGGTTAATGTCACTATACGTTATTAGAGCCAGAGCCAAATTATTCTGTTGTTCCTGATCTCACTGAAGTGAGAGCAAAATCCTTTGAGCAAGTTTAATCAATATGAGAAAAGTGAAACTAGCATGTTTATTTGTCCAGATAATAATTGAATACTAATTAATGAAATATCACATATACCGATAGCAAAGCAAAGATTTTGATTGGCAGGTTTAAGAATAATTTATTTTCTACATTGACTGTATGTTTTTATATATTTAATTCTAACTCTACACACATTGTTTTCCCTGTTTTTAACTGATTGTATTTCTTCTTTGAACTGCAAACGCCTATTATAAAAAAATTGTGTACAGTTTGGTTGGTTAATTGACGATTCAACCAGCAGCCACCAGCTTTTTGTCCTTAACCAACAGCAGCAGCAGCAAGCTCTCAGCCCTCTCTAACAGCAGTTAGATTGTGAACGAGCGGACAGCAGCCATCAGAGCCTCACACCGACTCAAAGCACCACAGCCCACACACACACAGTGCCAGAAGCCAAGCACACCAAAACACAAGTAGTCCATCCAGGACCAGGAGAACCTCTGCAGTTATCCTACATACTGGAAATACTTCAGGAGGGCATGATGTATGAGACATTTAAATGGTATTTGATATTATTAGAAAGCATCACTTTGTTTTGGAAGAATAGTTCCTCAAAGTGTGTGTTATGGCTGTCTAGTATGAATGAATATATATATATATTTTTTTAAGAAATCCATGTTGTTGTCACTCTAACAGATCCAATTTAAAATAAAAATGTGTTATTTGTGCTCTGTCTGTGCACATTGCAACTTTCTTCAACATCACAGTGAGCACCTTGGGTACATTCATTTTCTTTAAAATGTTGTATCAAGATTTGTTTAGGTTTGTATAATTACTATTGTCTGATAGAGTGATATCTACGTTTTTAAACTACTAAAAGGCTATGTTCTCTAAAATATCTGGCACAAGTCGGATCATTAAACTTTTATCACCCATCCTGGAAAACATCTATGAACTATTTCCAGTTGGGTGGGGCTGGAAACCCTTTAAAAACCTATGGCTAATCTACTTACTCCACACCATTTTTATTATCTTTTTAACTGATTTATTGATAGATGGACATCATGCACCCGAACAGTGAATCCAAATATGTAAGTATGCAGTTAAGTCTTAATTCATCAAGCTTTGAATCCATTCAAGAAAAAACCCATTTCCAAGCCACTTCAAAACATTCCATGTCAGCTCCAATCGCAGCGAAAATCAGATTTCAAAACCTCATGATTTTGAAATCCTCAGAGAAGAGGAGCGGGTTTTTGGCTCCAGAAGATAAACCCAGCTCAGGTCTGATGATGACAGGAGCCTCACAGAGGGTCACAGCTCTATTCAACACAAAGTGAGCACAGTTGGCTGCTGTGTATTCATCCCAATCATGCAGTGTTGATCCTTCACCATCCAACATGCACACACATACAGAAACAAAAACAGGGTTTCTTTCTCCCATTTGCAATCCCACTCACTTCGACAAACACACACAAGCTGAGAGAGGAAGAGGAGAGTTGTTTTGACAGATGTTTGCCTGTTAACATTTTCAGCATTCCTCACAAACCGACCAATTAGTTATACAGCTGAGACGAGCTCAGAAGAACTATCTTGGTTTCTCTTGTGACTTCTTTCCATCTCGTCTCTCTGCCTCCGCCTGAGCCCAGCAGTGAGGACAGTGGTGTGTGTTGACAGATACAGGTTATTAATTAGCATGTGGTCTGTTGTCTAACCCAGAACATGTAGCGTGTGGTTCCTCTGAGTTAATGTGTGTGAGGAGAATAAAGAGCTACTCTCAGGTTTTTTTACCAGAGATAGAGTCGGTAGAATGGGAAGTACACCCATTTGAAAATGCCCACAGGTTGTTCCTATGCTCAAATTCAATACAGACATATTAGTAAACTCTCTCCCAAATCCAAATACTGAAATATGTCATGTAGAATAAGGCTGAAACTGCTTAATAAACTATTGGGAAAGATTTTGAAACTGACTATATGGGTGAATGTCCTTGCTGATAATGTCTGGTTTCTGGCTTTAGCTAGTAGCTCATGCTCCAATTGTATTAAATAGGATATTATTTATTTTTTTATTTAAGGAGGTATTCCCCTTTAAAGACTCCTCAGAACTGATTTACCAACAAACTGATGAAAAACTTCCTCCACACGTACACTGGTATTTATGTTAACCAAGCTTTTTTCTATGCTTTTAGGCCTTTCCTCCACAATAACACAGCATTTGGTCCATGAAAATTGTGATTTTGTAAAACTCTTGTTAGGGTGAACCATTTAGAAACTGACATGTAGAGAGGGAGTGTTTGGCTTGTTTAAGCGCCGTTGACTCCTTTAAGAGAATGCAGTGGCGGCAGAAATACATCTATAATTGCAGAAGTATCCAAATGACTTTACTTAGATGCTCACAGGTGAATGTAAAGTTACTGTTTCCCTATGTTGAGGGACAGAGGGGTCAGAATGTGTTGTGGAGCTCCCATTATCCAACACTCCCATGAATCAGACACTGCTGCACACATGTTTGGGGTTGTGTGTGTATGCATGTGCATAGATAGGATTTAATTTCTTAGAGCTAAGGAGGATGAAACCCAATGTACAAAAATACCTATGTACGAGTGGACTAGGCCTTAATAGGATTTATTTATTATGATTGAGTTCATTCAGATTCCTATTTAACTGACTTCCTGTATAGCTGTTAGTGGATGCTGTGAGAGGAAGCAGCCAGTTAGTTAGAGTCAGAGTCATTCAATCAAAGCAGCAGACTGACATACTTGCTGTGGCTGACGGAGACCCCTGCCCTGCGATGGACATGGATGACACCTTCCGGACCGGCAGCTGGTCTCCATGGTGAGGGGATGCTGTTACCACGGCTGTTGCCATGGATACATTAGTAGGGTAACCCTCGTTTCCTCCGGACATCTCGCTGTCCCCCTCCTCGTCCGAGTTATCCGAGTGCAGGGGGTTGGTGAAGCTCAGGGCAGTCCTAACAGGAGTGGAGGAGGAGGAGGAAGAGGAGGAGGAGGAGGGAGCGGCACGGTCTGAGGAGGAAGACGAGGAGGAGGTTTTGGGGAAGTGTTTGTCAGGACTGTTGCAGGCCTGACTCCATGCTGCATGGCCACCCTTCACGTCCAGTTTCTCCCCCCCGAGTGTCTCCCCCTTCTCACTCTTCACAGGGAGGTGGTTTGGTCTGGTGAGGACCCCCCCCTCTGCAGGACCCTCCCCACACCCACCCGCTCCTCCCTCTGTGCCCGAGTCCTCCGACAGCGAAGAGCTAGACGTGAGCAGGGATTGGCCAGAGCGGGCTTTGAAGGCGTGGCTTCTCTGTAGCACTCCTGCGTTATTGGCTGAGCCGCTGCCCGCTCCGCCTGCTACCCCCATGGAGGAGGAAGTGTCAAAACTACGAGGTCCTTCCTGTAACGGCACCTTTTTAATCTCAATGCTCAGCTTTCTCTCGATCCGAGGAACGCCGGAACATTCTAAAACAGCCGGGGAGAGTGGCGAGGAGGGGGTCTGCGTCTGGCCCGAGTCCGATTTGCTGGATGTTGATTTGTTGTTATAGTTGTCGTTGAGATCTAGATTTGAGACCTGAGTCGGCTGTTTTCCACTTTGTAGATTTTGGTCTTTCTGCTCTGAGGGACTGCTCTGCTTGTTTAGACTGGGTTCAGATTTGTTCTGCTGCTGGTCGGCGTCTTTATTCTGAAAGGAAAAGTAAAGGAAAAATTGAAGCACCTTTTCCAAATGCAGCACCACCTAGAAAACAACAGAAGTCGTCTCTGTTTTGGGGGGCAGGTCTGAAAGGGAGTTAGTGTTTAGGGTTGGTTTTTGTCTTATTTGATATTTGTAAAATACAAAAATGACCAGCAACTGTGTACGTTTCTGTAAAGCTGGACTCACCTGTGTAGCCAGGACGTGGATGACAGGTTTGGGGTGGTAGCGGTCGTTGTCCTGCCGTACGTTTGTGACGGTGGGGAAGGCTGACGGGGGAGACGGAGTCAGGATGGGGGGGACGGGGTGAGGCTCAGGCGGCTGCAGTATCTCCTCCTTCACATCCCCTTCTCCCTGGGCACTACACAGAGAGACCAACAGAAAAAGAAAAAGAAATTAAACCCTGTATATCCAGAGATACCATTCATTTGTATTCAACATTTGCTTCAAGAAGAGAGTTTTACACGTTAAAGTAATGACCAAACCAAAAGAAAGAGAAAGAAGGAGTTGGCAACAGGTTTCAAGACTGTGGTTAAGAAAATTAGGAAATGAGAATGATGAAAAGGCAAGAATTTCATCACAGGGCTCAAACAACCGTCTGACATGAATTATTCTCTTTCTATAAATAATGATGAATCAACTCCGACTGAATGTATTGCACACATTAATACAACTAAAAGGGAGTTTCTGATAATGTTGTGACGATAGTCACCACTAGGTGGCAGAGTTTAAAATGTTGTATGTTTCACCTATACAGTTTCAGGATTTTAGTGCAAAAGTGATGACGTAAAGCAAACTGAAAACAGACTGAATTCAGAGTGCATTCCTCTCAAATAATTGTATTTATTATCTAATGTTTCTGGGACTGCAGTGCAGAGTTGAAGACACATTTCCAAAGGAAAATGCTTACATTAAGAAAAAGTATCTTCAGCCAGCGTAAAGAGAGAGTTACGTGGTATTCAGTGGATGTTTGTGCTAGTACAGTATCTGCAGTAATGCATAAGGATGTGATATATATTTCACTAGCCTGTGTTCTCTGTGCTTATGAACTACTTATAAACAGACCTGCTGATAATAACATGAATGCAGGATACGGAGGTTGTGAGCAAGCCAGTCCTACAGTTATGGAGAGTTAACAATAAGATCATGTCACACTCCACAGGATATACATGTATATGTTTGCAAATATACTGTATATACACAGTAAAAAAACTGTGAGAGGAAGTGGTGGCGTGCCAAACCTAAAGCTGAGGCAAGCGCTAACGTAGGACTGCACATGATGCTGTGTGTGTGTGTGTGTGTGTGTGTGTGTGTGTGTGTGTGTGTGTGTGTGTGTGTGTGTGTGTGTGTGTGTGTGTGTGTGTGTGTGTGTGTGTGTTACAGATAATAACAGGAGCCTCTGTGCTTCTCTCAGTCTTTGTTATTTTCCCAGAAACCTCCATTTGATCCACTGCAGAATTCATACAGTCATCCTTTGGTTTGTTTTGTTTCCCTTTTTGTTGTTTTGTCTCCAGTAGTTGTTACATTCTCTAACTTTCTCGTCGCTTTGTGTTTCTTTTTGGTTGTGTTGCATCAACTTGGTTGTTTGTTTTGCTTGTTTTTTTTAATTATGATTTGCTTTTTATGGTGGTATATTCTTGTCCCTGTGGTAGTTCTGTTTCTCTTTGTGACTTCAACAAGCAGAACATGTTAGCTGTCACTTCAAACTGAGGCCCCCTGACATATTGGACCCTTGAGTTTGTGCTCAGAGGCAGTGGCGTTTTCTACTGGAGGCCAAGGGAAGCCAGGCTTCCCCTGTTTTTTCGGATTGTAGTTATAATTTTAATAAATAAATAAAAACACTTCGTTTAGTTTCGGAAATTCTTTGTTTTGTGTTGCTGCCGGCCCGTCTCTCCCCCATTCTCTTTGAGTATTTTACAAAGAGTGAAACAGCGCCCCTCTAGATGTTATGGTGAAACAGTAGATTACACTCTCTGCGAGAGGAGGCCAGCCGAAATTGGCTTCCCTTGGTGAAAAAAGAATGGAGGAATTGACCAATCAGACAAGGCTTACGTCATGCCCCTGCCAACCTGTGATTAGTCAGGGCCATGCCAAGGGAAGCCAGAGGCTTCACAATCCAATCAAATCACATCAACTAGTGTTGCAGCGACCCGTCATAAAACCCGGAAGTAAGCTGCGCTCGTTTTCCCGGTTATGGCTAGAAAGGATCCGTCTTGTGTAAAACTCTCGCGAGAGTTTGGCTGAATGTCACGTGGCTGAATGTTTACGTTTGGCAGGCAGCCTTTCAGTTAGCCAAACTCTCGCGAGAGTTTTACACAAGACGGATCCTTTCTAGCCATAANATGTAATTCTCCATGTCCACTTGTTGCTGATGGTTGGGGTAGAGGAGCTGTAGATTTTGCACTAACATCTGTAGCATGGTCAGTAGCAGTAGCTGTAGCTACTGACAGTAGCTACAGCAGTGAGCAGCAGAGGTGGGGAGAGGTGGGGCTATGGCTTCATCGTTATCAGGAAATGATCATATAGGACGTACACACGGAGCCGTTTGCCCCCCCAGAGCGTTCCGTTTGCAGATCTATCCACCTTTGGACCCGTTATCGTTTGCGGGGTCCGTATCCGCATTTCCGTTACGGCCTCGTGTGAACGAACGGGCTATACGACAGAGAAAAGTAGCGGATACAACCGTTTGTGTTCTCGTATAAACAGCACGTTACGCTGTTCTGAAGAAGGTAAACACAGTGAAGGCGGTGCGTAAAAAGGCACAGCTCTCGGCGCGCTGGTGCTGCACTTCTCAGAGGCGGAGTTACACGTCCCGCTGCCTCCTGATGCTGCAGCCATTTCATGAAGTGAAGGAGGTTTTCCTTCTATAAAACAGCGGTGGGCAGCAGATACTGTGAGAGTCCCAGACATGAATTCATAGATCAATGCAGACTGGTTTACAGACTCTCCTGTTTTGCCAATCCGGTGCTTAAACAAATAGCATGTCCTTAAAATGAAGTCTGAGTTTGGAATATATCTCAAATAATGTATGAACTGTATAAACATAACGTCTGCAATGAAACGGTTGTCTCCTGTGTGCTCCTCTTCCTACTTGGCGCACCGGTAACTTTCTCACGAGAGGCTGAGACCTTAGGCTGAGCTGCCGAAGCCCTCGGAACATCATAACAGCCATTTTCAACTGTTTTCTGGTGAAGGTTTAACTAGGCTACTGGATGAAATAATATGACTGGTATAGGTGCGAAACACGGCAGTAACACCTCCGGTCCGCGGCCCAGGAGTTGGGAACCCCTGATTTAACCAACTGAGAGAATAATAAAAAAAGGCACTTAAAGCGATATCGTGTGAACACGATCAGTCGAGCAGCAGGAGCTTTTTAGATAGAAAAGTCTTGCTGTTCTTTAGAAGTTTTTACAAAGTTTGACTGTGACACTAGAGGCCACGGTGATTCACTGCAGATTCAGAAATGTCCCTCAATGTATTCAATATAGTATATTTTCCTCTTATATTTTAAATGTAGCATTTAGCACTATAGATGGTGCTGAAGCCTCTTTCTTCATCTTATAAAATATGCTTGTTGAGTTAAAAGGAAATTAATGATTCCCATTTAATAAAATGGAATCAACTTAGAGCTAATTCAATGGAAATGTAAACCCCTTTTTAACTCTGAGACAACATATGTCAGTAAAGAGCAAACCGACTCTACGCACAGCTTAAGTGAAGGAAATATTACAATCTCACTTTTAATAAAACAGGCACTGACTGGTTTATTTGGGCCAGTTAAATCTGCCTTGCCACTTTTTGTAATTATATTACAGTAGAAAGTAATGGTGTTTAAGGTCATATTTTTTGTGGACGAAACACATTTTTTAACCTATGCAGACCGTTTACATGCACCAAAACCCACAACAAAAAAAACACTACTGGAAAGAGAAAACACCCAACAGCCTTGAAGGGGCTCTTCATGTTGGTGAATATTGTGGGTCGGCTCAAGTTAAAGAACTGTTAGCTGAATTTGAGCCTGCTTCCCATTGACTGCTTGAGTCTTATCAGTGTCAGACTATTAGATCTGGCCTCACTTAACTTAATGCACAGGAGTGTGTGGGGGGGTGGGGAGCTGTGGTATTCCTAACATTAAGGGTGGGTATAATATGTGTGTGAGTTTAACCATTGTAACCGCTGTGTATGTAAGACAGGGCTCTGGGCAGAACATATGTAATGGCAAAGCTTGATTGAAACTCAAATTTGAGTTTTCACTCATTCAACACTCATTTAAGTTTTTTTCTCCCTAAAACTTAAATTACTCTTTCATCTCTTACAGATCTGTATTTCAGTGTGATTCTCAGATTAAGTTTCTCTGTCATCATTCTGTCTGCTATCATTTCTCTCTTTCCTGTTCCCCTTTGCAGAAAAGCACCCCCATCATCAGTGTAACCCTATGCTGCTATCACATATCATCTGTGTAGGAGCAGAGAGGAGAAAATAATTCATCATCTATCTCTATTAAATCTATTTTCCTCTCTTGTTTTTTTCCAGAGGTTACGGCGGTTATCGACTAAATACCGCACAGAGAAGATCTACCCCACCAACGTAGGAGAGAAGGAGGAGAATGTCAAGAAGAACAGATATAAAGATATACTGCCATGTAAGTACAAACACATACATGAAGTATGTTAATATGAATCGGAAAAAGTGTCTCCCACTTATACATGCACTAACATAAAGCACAAAGTAACTGTTCTTGGCTACTGTATTTCCTAGTTGCTGTAAAGGTCTGACACACACACACACACACACACACACACACACACACACACACACACACACACACACATACACACATACATATACATACACACATACATACATACACACACATACATACATACACACACATACATACATACATAACATACATACTACATACCACACACACAACACACACACACACACACACACGTACACACACACACACACACACACACACACTAAGTTGTATCTTCTTGGTAATGCACTTATGGCGCATTTCCACTACAGCGCGGTTTAAGCGTGCCGTGCCCGGCCCGTTTTTGGTTGCGTTTCCACTAGGCGTAGTTCCGGCTAGCGGGTATTTTTTCACAGTTTTCTGGCTCTCCAAAATCGAGGTTCTTTCCGGGCCAACAACCGGGCTGAATATGCTAAACTAGTGAGAGAATCGCTTGCAACTACAAAATGAACATATTTTACCGTAATACACGTTTCAAAATGATGCTGAAGTAACAACATTCTGATACCGGTTAGTAAAAACCATGAATTAATGCTTTGACAAGTCTACAGACAAGTCTGCAGGCGAAAAACCTTTTAAAATGTGTGTTTTCTGAATGGAGATCGACTAAGCTAACGTTGCATATGCTCCGACCGTCCACACTCACAACAACGGCCTATACAGACATAAATAAACCAGAGACTGTATTCACAATGACAAAGACAGTCTGTGGTTTGTACTTCTTTAACTTTTGTCTAGTTTCTGAACAGATATGAGGAGCTGTGAGCTCTGAGTGCTAACAGCTAACGGCTGATGTTGGTTTTGTGTTTCGCATTAAAGATGACGTCACGGCTCCGCCTAAACTGCGTTACTACCCCAGTTCCTAAGTTGTAATGGAAACGCAGCATAAAGTGAGCCTGGCCTACCAAGGCCTAACTATACCGTACTAAGCCGTGCAAGGACCGGCAGTGGAAATGCGCCATTAGTGACCTTAGGGGGAGCTTCCCTGACCCAACATCTGTCCTACTTTTTTTATTTTGTATTCCTTTATCCTCTTTTTCTCCATCCTTCCATCCACCCACTCATTCATTCATTAAAGGTCCCATGTCATGCTTTTCTGGTTATTACCCGTCCCCTTGTGTGTTATGTAGTTTTTTCTGCACAAACCCTCAAAGTACACCCTGTAGCGAGTAAAACTCTAACACAGAAAAGACCTGTCTATGCTGCCCCAGAACGCCTCGTTGGAGATTTCTCTTTTTCCATTTGTTTCTTCCTGTGTATGGTGACGTGCCCATACCCAAATGAACCCATTGGTCCAAATGGACCAATCCCTGGAGCTCTTCACACACACACACACACTCTCTCTGCTGCAGCACCCCTCCATTAACCTTATTTTACATTTCTCTCCTACTTGTCCTCGCTTTATCCCAATTTGCAATCCACTCTTTTCTCTTTGTCTTGTTTCATTTCTGCCTCTGCAAGTAGGAAATACTTAAAATGCACCAAAGTAAAGACTTCTTACTTTCTGTCTATCCACAGTTGACCACACCAGGGTGAAGCTGACGTTAAAAACAACCAATAATGACTCGGATTACGTCAATGCTAACTTCATCAAGGTAAAAGAAAGCACCTGAAAGGCCTTTTGTTGTTTGACACTTTGATTACAGTGTTAGGAAGATATATGTGGTATAAAGGGCTCTATGAATGACAGGGAGATAAGGTGTGTGAAAACAGGATGGATTTGTGATCTTGCTTTCTTTCGCTCCCTTCAGGGTATGGATGGCCCGGAGGCGTATATTGCAACTCAGGGCCCCCTGCAGAACACTGTCATCGACTTCTGGAGGATGAACTGGGAGTATAATGTAGCTGTGAGTATGGCTTAGAGCTTAGAACCTTTTTCCCTAGAGCCCCCCCCCAAATGACTCCTGTTGGAAGGGGGGGTGGGTTCAAAGTCTCAAAAATGCTACAACTGCTGTCACAAACTGGATGAATGTGAAGTATTTTGTTAAAGGAGGATGAAAGCGTAATTAAGGAGCACTATTGGAGTGACTTTGATGGTTATTGGACTCAGGATTCATTCATTTGGATTCCCGCTGTATGAAGAAATTAAAGGACGGCGCGGAAGTGGAAACAATTCACAAAGGGATTAAACTGTTTAACACATGCTCAAAGTAAACTGGATTTTGCCTATGTGTTTAATCTACAAAATGGAGGAGCCTGATCTGATCGGAGCAACTGTGACAAATAATCCAACTGAAACCGGCATGGACAATGACTGTTTTTAAAAATGCGCTTATCCAGACAAGCCCGGTTTGGACACTTTACGGGCAGAAGAAAGAATTTTTATTCAAATTAATTAATCAATTATTTTTTATATTTTATTGTAATGCAGAGACAAGGCTTTTAGCGGCAATCATGTATTGCGTTACTTTTAAAAAAATGTTTTACATATAATTGTAAAAAAAAAAAGGCGAGCAGCCCAGGTTGGGAACCACTGGCTTAGAGGATGGGGGAACCAGACAGGATGATTCAGAGAGCAGGAGGCTGTTAGCATAGAGCAGGGCCTCTGGGTCCAATAGAATAGCAACAGAAAGATGTAACCTACCGCTTTGTGTAGGGACAATAATTAAAGTAGGGAAATGAATATTTAATGTCAGACAGATGGGGGGTGCGTATGGTTGAAGCAGATGGACAGAAAGGGGGGAGCTGTGATAAGGTTCAGCTCACACTCGGGACGTTGCAGCTGGGATAATTACTCCTGTAGGATCAAAGTGATGTGAAGTCTGCTGGACTGAATTCAAAATACAGAAAGGTTGAGCCACTCTCTATTAAAGCTTTTAATATTCTGCATACATAGAACATAAAGGAAGGAAGCAATATTTTCGGAAATGTACGATTTATCCGTGAGTATAAATATTGATTTGTAATCCTTCCTGTTTGTGTCCCTGCAGGTTATTGTGATGGCTTGTCGAGAGTTTGAAATGGGAAGGGTAAGGCCCTGGTATTTAATCCCTCTGTGTGCGTTCCAGTGCACGCTTATGTGTGTGTTAATGTGTCCTCATACACTACAGTATGTCTTTGGTTCCATCAGTGTGTTTGTCAGTTAGAACATTTTAAAAACGTAAAGAGAATCACTTATTTGCCCCTCGATTATTTTGTCCTCATCTGTCCTTGGTGATGATGTTTGTATATATAAAAATTATATCGCAGTGTTTGTGAAAAGATGTCGCTGGAGGCTGTTACCAAAGCCTGAACTGACTGATAAAAAAGTGTGATGTCTCAGATAATGAGCATATGTAACTACAAATGTCAGTTTTGCACATATGGTTATAGTATCTTATATTCAGTAATTTTTTTCTGTAATTGTCATTGCTGATGTTCCACTTGTCACATTAATTGTTTATTCTGAGCCAGAACGTGTGTGTGTGCACAGGAAGCTGTGGTATTTGTCTGGTATGTTGTTCTCAGCCAAAGCTAACTCCTTTGCTTCTCTCGTTAGAAAAAGTGTGAGCGGTATTTCCCGCTACTTGGGGAGGAGCCAATGAGCTTTGGCCCCTTCAGAATCTCCTGTGTAAGTAGACATCTCTAATATCACAGCTGTGTGTGTGTGTGTGTGTGTGTGTGTGTGTGTGTGTGTGTGTGTGTGTGTGTGTGTGTACGTACGGAGAGTGTATAGAGAAAAGGGGGCGGGTGGTCTGGGCTCCTGCATTTCTCACATTTTGTTCTAATGGCGTTTTAGTCAAGGATTGTGTTAATGTTCTCCCTGTCTCTGCTGTTTGCAGGAGTCAGAGCAGGCCAGAACGGACTACTTTATCAGGACTTTGACCGTGGAGAATGAGAATGTAAGTCTTCTGACACTGTAAACGTTCTTTTGTTGCCCCTGCCAGTCCTCACAATAAAAAGTCAATATTGGAAATGTATGCAAAATCACAAACAAATAATCAACAATGCTACAAATATGTTCATATCATCACTGTGTAACTCCACTAAAAGTAATGAAATGCCTAACATATCGCCCCCACATTCACTTAGGCTGCTCATCTTTGCCTGATGATTCAATTCCCTGTCCTTCCATCGACCATTTTTTCTAATTAAATGTTCTTAAAAAAAATCCCTGTGTGTGTAGGAAAACCGGAGGCTAACACAGTTCCATTATATGAACTGGCCGGATCACGACGTCCCCTCATCGTTTGACTCCATACTGGATATGATCGCACTGATGAGGGAATACCAAGAGAACGATGATGTTCCTATATGTGTGCACTGCAGGTAGGTCAGCACGGACAAACTGTGCAGACTCAAATCCATTGCTGCATGTACTGTAACTAAGGCAACTCAACCAAAAAAAGACTGATGTGATTTTTATTATTTATTAAATTATACCTCACTCTCCAATTGCCTGTTCTAGTTAAAGACTCACATGTTCTACTTACTTATGCTTTCAAATTGAATTGTATGACTCATGATGACCAGTTGTTTTCTTTGAGGAGGCAGTGAGAATTTGCAACAGGTGGCTGGCATTACTGTGTGTCTGTGTGTGTTTTGAGTTCCAAGTTTGAACACTGTAGTTAGACCAGACACACACATATGCAACTACTTCTGGCGAAAGCTATAACTTGTGTTTAATCATTTGCTGATATATAATGTAGATTTGGTAAACTATGTATCCTTCCATAGTTTATCTTAAAGAGCCCCTGTTATGCTTTTGGGGGTTTCCCTTTCCTGTTAGATAGGCCTTTGAGAAAAATAAAGCATTTGAACATTAAAGCATGGAGACATGTCACGGTAGAGGCACTAAATACTAATATAAACCTGAAAATGAGGAGAATAGGTCCTCTCTAACTTATCTTGTTGAGAATCTTATAATAGCTAATATAGTTATGTATTGTTAAGGGTCTAGGCAAAACATTAATGACTCAAAGATGAATGGCAATTCTCACCATTAAAGAACTTAATTTGGGGACGTCATTAACATGCATAATGCACTGATTCATGAAACTAGGTTTATGCTGCACACATGCGTGGGTATCCACACAGCACACACACACACCGTCTCCATGTGTGTATAATCAGCTCTAATGAGCAGCCTGCGGACGTTTCCTGGTTCCTCTGTTACACAGCAGGACTGAAGCTGCTCCTGTAAAGATGTGTGGTGCGCTGTACTGTCTGTGTGCACACACACCGCAGAGGCTCTGTGACAGCATGAGATAGAGTTTATGTTTTTATGTGTCGGACATGATGCCACATACTCCGTAGCTCCTGTCTCCATCCTGTCTGCTGAGGTGTTGTGGTTGTCGGTACTCCTTTTATTGTTTTCTCACAAACTGAAATCCAGAGTTGTTAGTAAGTGGATTAATATTTGCAATGACAAGGATAAAGCTCAGGAGTGTATATGTGTCTTCATACATGTGTCTGCTTCTGTTGAATCTTATCTCTCTGACTGATTATACAGTGCAGGCTGTGGGAGGACGGGTGCTATCTGTGCTATCGACTACACATGGAACCTTCTGAAAGCTGGGGTATGTGAACACACACACAAGCACACACACACACACACGCACACACACACGCATGCACACACACACGCACACGCACACACACACACACACACACACACACACACACACACACACACCACACACACACACACACACACACACACACACACACACACACACACACACACACACACACACACACACACACACACACACACACACATCTAAATCATACCTGTTCAAATACACAGGGTAACTGTTATGTGGAGATTCAAGTGGGAATTAACACCTTTGATTTGTGCTTCTACAGAAAATACCTGAAGATTTTAATGTTTTTCGGTTGATCCAAGAGATGAGGACGCAACGACACTCTGCTGTTCAGACCAAGGTTTGTTCTTCACTTTTTGTTATCACACACAGACAAGTATCACCATTTAAGGTGAATTGACTGAAATACACATGACTCAAAGTTATTGGAATATTGTTCAGTAGTTATAGAATAATAATTAGGGATTTGATGCTACTTCATTTTATTTGTAAGTTTTGTTTTATTGTGTTTTTGTTGTGTCTTAAATTATGCTCTGGTGCTTTTATGACTTCTTAACATGTGGGTTCATTGATCATTGTACGCCTCCTATATGGATGTCTTATTGTTTTGTCAAGCACTTTGTCTGTGAAAAGCGCTTTATAAATAAACTTTACTTACTTACTTAATGCTAAGCTTCCTTCAAACAGGGAAGCTCGGAGCTAAGATCAACATTGTGTGATGTGTGTCTGGTTGTCAAATGAACATAATTCCACCAGCACAAATGTCTCAATGTTTAATTGAAACACCAAGTTCCTTACCCCAGAGGATGCAAATCTTGTTTAGAAAAATAATTCATTATTTTTGGGCAATATTAAACACGTAAGGACACATAATACTGCATAACAAGCATTCTATCTTTATAATCTTTACAAGAAGTTGCTTCAAGTTATTTCTGTCTTTTTTTATGGTTCCCCATTTGAGTGACAATGAGTGACAGTAGTGGCAGCGTTTCCTCCATTCCATAGCCCGGGTCATGTCTCTTCCTTGCCGTGTTCCTTGCTGCACACCTGCTTCAAAATGCTTCCTAGAGTAGCCCGGGGTCAACACATTCCCTCCGTTATCTGTAACCGGTTCCAGAGGTTTGACCTGGGAAGTTCTTCATTTTCCAGCCATTTCTTTAAAATCTTTAGGCAGCATTCATTACAAAATAATGAGTGTTATAGTCTGAACAAAGCGCCCATCTTCATTTGCTGCTTATATATGATGTCTTCTCCCACACATAAAAAGAGCCCTGTTAGATATCTCATAGAATTGCCTTTGATAGAGACTGCTGGGAGCCGGTAACTGTAATGTAATTTCTGAAAATGCATTGCAATACACTTACTGCCTCACCGGGAACATAATGTGATTATATCAGCCTGCATCGGGCGAGGCCCTTCTGTTGTTTTCACACAGGTTCTATAACACAGCCTTGTAAATTGATGTTTTTGAGTACAGACATGAGAATGTTATTGCTTTTATATTGATTTTCCGAAAAACCAATTGTTTTCCTCCCTTCTCCTTCACCTCACCTTCTCTTATCTCTATCCTTCTCCCTCTTTCTTTGTCTCCCTAGGAGCAGTACGAGTTGGTTCACAGAGCGATCGCCCAGCTCTTTGAAAAACAACTGCAGCTACTGGAGAGCCCCGCCAACACGCAGATACACGATGGCATGGTATGACACACACACACATATTGTGCATGCTGTCTGGTGTTAAAGAAAGACAGGATGTCGCTGAGTAACGCACTCGGAGTGGGAAAGAAACACAAATAATTAGTCACAGGGGTGGGAGGAGAAGGGAGAGGGAAGAGAGGCCTTCAGAAAACTTTGCTTTTGACACAGACAGAAAAAGAGTCTGTAAACAGACCTCTCCTCTGCAGGGGAGGGACTCTATACTGTTAGACCTATTTAAGAAAAGCCAGAATAAACCTTGCTGTGTCAGTTCACACTGCCCTCTTTCTAATTTTACTTCACTATCCTCAGTTACCCCAAAACACACACTCAATTGCAACCAAACCCAGAAAGTTTATGTAACATACAGGAAAAGCTGAGAAGCAGTACCAGAGCTGTCCTCTGTGACTCATCTTAGCTTGAAGTGCAATGCTGAACGATTACATTTTGTATACAATCCAATCAGGTGTTGTATGTAGCTGCCGTCCATCATGCCACATCATTGTGTAGCAGACTGGGGGAAGCTACTTTGAAACTAATGAAGCTCCAAGCTACTCTTCATTGTAGTTCAAATGCGGAAACTATACACTCCCTCCCCTGCTCAGACTGAAGCTGATTTAAACTCAAGTGCACCTAACAGCATCATCAGAAATAAGCATTATTCTTATACCACTTTTGGAATATTGGGACTTAAGATGGGGGATGGCAAAGCAGAATTTCAACAATGTCTAGGATTTAAATTTTGAAATAAATGCCTCTTTACTAGTGAAAAATCCCAATATCATTATTTTGGTCAGGCAATTCTCAGAGACAGAATGGAAAGTGTCTGGTCCATTTAATGTTCATTCACAAAAAGTGTCCGTATCAAAAAATAAATATATAAATATAAGATCACATAAATATCTTAATGGTTCTAAATATAATATTTCATAAATAACGCTTTAACTCAAATATATCTGTCAGATATATCCACGTTAGATCAAAAATAATGTTAATGCTAACATCTAGAAAGGTAACGTGATAATAGAAAGAGCTACTCTACTAGACTGCCACTAGAAAATGCAGTGAAACTGGTTGAAGCAGCACTTCCCCACACTGATCGAGAAGATGAAAGACAAAGTGAGACAGAGACCGACAGACCCAAACACAGAGGACACATTGGGTGTTTCTCAATGTCGAGGACGCTTGCTTGGTAGCACATGTCTTCCGAGTCACTTGCTTCAGAAGCGAGGCAAGAATCCTTCCTGGCATTCGGAAAACGAAGAGTGGAGCAAGTGAGCAGGTGTGCGTCATATGAGAGGACCCGCCTTACATTTTCCGCCACAGATTTGGGGAAATTGGTCCGTGCGCAAAGCATTGTGGGGATTTTAAGACCGCGGAGTCTACACATGTGCAGCCTCGAAATGTCTCGCTACGAAGTACGCTGGGCTCGGTAGAATTGCAAGTATGCTGGACATTGGAACAGTCCTTCGGCGGCACTCGATGACGTAGTATGCTTGAAATAGTGGCTCTGGAGCAGCTTTACTCGACATTGAGAGACACCCACAGACCTCCAGTCCACTTCCTGCTTACGAAGCTCTGATGACATCACCCCTCTCCCATAATGCACTTTGTGTCTCAGAATAGACATGCATCCGTTGGGAAAGGGAGACCCTTCCAAGAGACGGTCACAGGGACACACAGCCATGTTGACATTAGAAAGACCCACACTCTACACTGTTGGGGAAAGCTTCATTTTAATGGTTATGTTTTTTTAAAGATATGAACGTCCTGTTTTTGAGGAAACTCAGTTTAAATTGTTTTATTTTATAACATAATCTGGAATTTCATCAACACAGTCGATCATGTAAGCCAGAAATGTATTAATATCTCAAATAAAACATCATATTTATTTGTTGCATAATAACTTAGATTTCTAATCCTTACTCTGGAAATGACCAAGCATTTAGGATCAAAACACACAATCAAAGTTAATAAGAACAGCTCCTAAACTAAATTCAACTATTATTATATATACTAAAAAAAGATTAAAACTGAATTCTGGATACTTTATTTCTCGCAATTAAATACATAGTAACAATTTAGATGTGATGATAAAGACTTTGCGAGTCTGGAGGATTTTTATATATATTTATTTTAAACCTGTCCCTATGATCTTAATTATTATAGTATCTCTAGAATGTGTGAAACCTGTCCACTGAACTGCAGTCAACTTTTAATTGTTTCAAAGTTTGTTTTTATTAATAATTTGTTAAGTGTAGGCGTGTGAACATCAAGTGTGTTGCTACTCACTGTAACCTTGTGGTTATCTTACACCAAGTCCAAGAGCACACACACTGACTCATGTCCAGTCAGCCATTGTCAGTGACTCAAACACCCACATAGGTGCTCTCAATGGCAGTCAACAATAAGCACACACACACACACACACACACACACACACACACACACACACACACACACACACACACACACACACACACACACACACACACACACACACACACACACACACACACACACACATCCCACACTCTGCTGGCAGCAGGCGCTGCATTGTTTGCAGGGAGTTTTCCCACCAAAGGATCTCCACAACACACTGTGTTTTCATCATGAACCCTGAAGGAAGAGCTCATGTGGCCTCATTTGCCCCTCTGTGTTGAGCTTTTGACGCCTGAAGTTGTCCCGTCATCTTCTCTTTATCAGTGGAGAGAGAGAATCAAATTAATGAGTCACGGGGGAGGAGAGGAGAGGAGGAGGAAGCTGAAGGATGAGAGGAAGAAAGGGAAGATTAGGCGGGAGGAGGAGCGCTTCTTTCAGGAACAATTTCAATCCTTCAGTGAAGCAACTTCCTGCCTCTGCTCCAGAAACATCTAGAGAGGAGAGAGTTAGAAGGGCGCTGTTGGAGAACACTCTCTCAGCTGGAGGGACATCTCTAGAAAGAGGCTCTATTATACTTCCTGTAGTGTGTTATATAGCTTTCTGTGTAAATGGTCTGCAAAGACTAAAATCCCTGTGCTCCCTCTCCAGAGGGAGTTTCTCTCCCACACACCCCGAAAATGTAAATAGTTTGAGGTATTTGGCACACAATTTACGGGGCTACTTAAGGTTTATACAAATCTATTTCAACTCAATATAATTTGGTCTTCATAGATTGTTTTATTCTTATCATTACTTCAGTGGAAAAGCAAATTACAATATATAAATTGAAATGCATTATTATAATTATTACAGAAATCCTTTTTTTCACTCCTAAGACTTGGTTATTGGAGAGTTGTGACTGAAGGATATGTTTTTCAGTCCCATGATGTAATGGAGACCTCTTTCTAACCTAAATCATCAAATTCCAGTGGTATGAAACAATCGTGGAACTTAAACTCAAATGTGTGTGTGTGTGTGTGTGTGTGTGTGTGTCCAGGAGGAAAACAGTCCAGATAAAACAAGCCAGCAGTCAGATGATGAGAGATGGGACACCCCGCCTCCAAAACCTCCACGCATACGCAGGTAAGATTTTTGTTAGCTTTTCAAAACTTCAGAGAAAAGGATGAATAATCCCGCACTCATCCTCCAAACGATGGATGAACACAGCAGTGAGCAGTAGATGGGAAGTGAGCACAGTGTGTGTAGGGGCAATCCAACAAAACAACAAGTGTGTGTGGAGTAAAAACATATTAAACTGACCAACCAGAAGCAGCTGCGTAGTTTTCATCAGAGTTTTTTGACACGTTATTCTCCACCAGCCCACGCCCGGCCTCCACTTTTACTGAAGTTAACTTCTGTTAACTACAGTTGTGGCCTGAGGAGGAGCTTAATGTATCTATAGACAGATTTAGCACATTTTAACAATCCCCTGCAACACAACGTGGTGTTGCGTGTTCCACAACCCTCGGCTAGTTAAAGCAGAGCAGCTACAGCTTTCATCTCCCTCTGTGACAACAAACACACTCGTTCTTACTCGCAGGCATATGGTTGGTATCTGTCATATGCATAAACACTCTCTCTTTCTTTGGCACGTTTCCCACATTTATCACCCTCCTCATTCCTTTCTTATCCTCTCTTCCTGCTTCTCTTCTTCTCCCTGCCCCCTTTTCCTCACCCTCCCCTTGATTTTAATTTTGATCTATGAGCCCAGCAGGGGTTGTCCTCCACTTTCTCTCAGTTCATCCCCAGCCCCCTTATTTCCTCTACTTATGAAGTATGCACAGCATGCTGTTCATGCAACAGCTTTAGATAGATTCTCAAAAATGTTTCCCTTAATTACCTGTTGCTCTAAAAACGTCCAGTTTGACAGCATTTTTTTCCGCTTGTGTGTTTTTCATTCGGTACCATGGTACTTAAGATGATTGCATTCTCCCAATTCTAAACCTCTGTAAAGGCAGAAAATGATCCATCACATACATGACCTTTTTTATGTTTCTCTAAAGTTGTCCTGCTCAGCTGAGATTAATTTGTCTCCGTTCTGATGGGAAAGCAAACATTTTTCAGAGGTCCTAATTTTGGGATGCAGCTTTATTTCTTGCTCTATGTAAAACAGACACATTTGAAGTCAGAGAGATGCTGCCAAAAAAACAGGCTTTCCTGGAATACTTTAAAATCTCAGTTCTGTGTCTTTCTCTGTCTGTGTCATCCTTCACTTTCCTAAAAGAATAATGTCAGGCCTGGTTTAAGCCTGGGAATATTTTAGTGATGGTGGAAGAAGCTATTTTTACCAACATAGTCCACATTCTACCGGCCGCACTCCCCCGGGTCACTTTAGCAGTGCAAGTGTGTGTGTGTGGGAGAATCTTTTTCTGTATGTGTGTGTTAGAGGAAAAAACTGCCGGAAGTCAAATGAGCCTGGCATCAAGGTTATGGATACTGAGTCATAGCTTTTATATACATACAGTGTACACACATATTCACAACCACACCCTGAGGAGTCATATCCTTTGAAATGTCACAATAAAGTCTGTCAGAAGCATCTCAATAAGTACCAATAGGTGGCATTAAAGATTTTGTTAGCTCTTTAGTCTTTTTTACTTATGCTTTGATGAATTCCTTCTTCTTTTTCAAACAATAACTTGTAAAAGTAAAAAATCCAAGCTGAGCTATCATTTTATTAATCCATAAAATCATAGAAGTGTAACCATCCCTATTACCGGAAAATTGGAAATAAATACCCAGAAAACTATACTTAAAAAACAAATATTTCACAAAAGCCTGTGGGACCATTTCAAGAAAGGACAGGGACAAAAAACTTTTTGTGTCTGTATAAATCTATCCTCAGCACAACCTGAAACCAGGAAGTGTCTCTTTAAGTGAAATCGCCCTCTGGCACGTCGCTGCTGTGAACCAACTCTGTGATTAAAAATGCAGCGTCTTCCCTCTGGGGCTCATGAGGAGGGACAGAGCGCTGCTTGAGTTTATGAGAGCGTGGGCGCTGCATACATTTCAAGTTCTTGTGAGTGCGTGCATCTGTGCATACATGTGCGTTTAGAGGCTGCATTTGTACGTGTGTGTGATGTTTGTGTGCCCATGTCTGCGCTTAAACAGAATGGATGCTTGTAGTGTTTAATACTTCAGGGAGCAGAACAACTTGTGCATGGTGAGGTATGTATAACGCTCTTTGAAGCATATTTAAAAAGCAGTTATAGGCAAACATTTAATACATGGTTTTAAAACAATATAATAGACAGATATAAGGACATAATAAAGTGTTTATTATTATACAGTTTTTTCAGCTATAAGATCTTCTATAAATACAATTGTAATACAAGTAATGTCAGAAATAAGCAGGTAAAAATCCTAACATTCAAGATGTTTTCTGACAATAAAGAGGGCAAAAATGATAAACCAAGAAATTCTAACCTGATAACAGTTTTTTGTACAGCCTTTACTTACAGTACAGACCCACAGGAGGAGTTATAGCCCTTTACAAATACACAATAATGTCTGCATATGACTGAGTCATAGTACACCTCATTTATTATATGCTTACAGAACATCAAGGAAAAATACCTCAGTCTTTTTACATCTGCACACACAAAAGTACAGATCTGAAATAGCAATGTATATGATTTAAAACAAACAAATGTATAGTGTTTGACAGGTTATGGGAATTGGTTCAAGAATGTTACAAATTATTTTTCTAACAAGGCAGATCATTCTGGTGAATAGTTCAAATCAAAGCCAATTAAGGAAAATAAAAATAAAGGGGAGTGTGTGAGAGAAACTCAGGGACTTTAGCCTTTGCAGACCATTAACATGCACAGAAACCTACAGAACACACTACAGGAGAGGGAAAGCCCAAACATCAGAATAGGGCCTCTTTAAAGTAAGTTGCAGTATGGCCATGTATTCACAGATGTAGAACGTTTCTCACAGAATATCAGCACAGCTCACATTGAGCTTTGATCATTTGACTCTGTTTATTGCAGCTCAACACTGACACTACTACTTTATTCTCTTGATGCACACCCACGTAATATTTTCATGCATCCTTTTTTCATGGACGTCCTAGTGCTGCAGTTTTCACATGGTTTATGTGCTTTCACTCTTTGCTTTATTGTTTTTTTCTGTAACGTATTAGCTGCTGTAATAGCTCAGCTTCCCTTAGGAATCATTTTAATTTAATCCGATCATATCTTAGAGAACACAGGGCCGATTCATATCCCCATGAAAACAAGCAGCAGCTGTGCGAATCCTCTGTGTTATTGCCATGTTATATATTTTCATTGCTCATGCACTGAGGATACAGAGGAAGACATTCTCATGGGTGATTTACGTTTTCATTAAAGAGAGCTCCTTTAACCTGGAGGCCATATGTTTCTTCATTCTGATGGTTAAAAAATGTCTTATTTGAGCTCAATCTCAGCGTAAGATCATGACCTCTGTCCTGAGAATTATAACGAATGTTATTATTAAGGCTCGACTGCATTTGATCCATTTTGTAACCAGGAATAAAGGGAAAAAAACTTTTATAGTGTACAGTTTGTGTTGGTGGAGTCGAGTGTGGTGTGTTTCACAAAATAGTAATGGTATCCTATATATATTTTTTAATTTCTGGCCTATTGTAGTCGATGTTTTAGTATTTAGAAAATATATACGCTTTGGATTGACATTACATTTGGATTACATTTCATTTAGCTGATGCTTTTATCCAAAGCGACTTACAATAATATTCAACCATGAAGAAACAGACTCAGAAACAAGAATCCTGCAGGTACATTTCATATCTATAAACCCAACCAGATTAAGTGCTACTGCATTAGCTTCACTTAAAGTGCCCCGGACAGAAGAGATTTTATATATATATTTTTGTTTTATTGGCCAAGGTGCAGTGGAAATAGGTGAGTTTTCAAGATGTGTCAACTTTCTGATATCCTGGTATCAGTAGGAAGCTCATTCTACCATTTAGCAGCCAGGATAGCATACCATGTGTATATTATGTGTGGGTCCAACTAGCAGTGAGGGAGTAGCAAGCCGATTGGCCGATGCAGAGTGATGAAGTGTAGGATTTACCATGTCCTGGATGTAGGAAGAACGATAGTTACGTATGTAACTACGGTTCTATGAATCCTGGATGACCGCCAGAGGCGGCGCTTAGCACTGAATATCTTCTGTCTCTCGCATGCGCAGGTCGAATACTTATATCAACAAAGTCACGTGTGACCTCGTATGACCCCGGAAGGCCTAAGTTCCGGTGTTGTCAATGAGTTCAGTCATATGGAATCTTCTCGCGGGAACACAAGATTCCGAGTGACCAAGAACTCTGGCGGTCATCCAGAATTCATAGAACCGTAGTTACATACGTAACTATCGTTCTATTTCATCCTTACTGACCGCCAGAGGCGGTGCTTAGCACTGGATGACCTATACAACAGAGTCACAAGGAAGTCTGAATACTTACCCTATAGGGATGGCCTAGGTCAGGGGTGCCCAACCAGTCGAATCTCCCCGCGATCGACCGGTCGATCGCGAGATGTGTCTAAAAATAGAACAACAATATTCTGTTTTATCGTTAATGTCCTACAACATAATCTTCCTGTGCCAGAATAATGCACTTGAACGCATCAAAGCTTTGTGATTGGCCGGCGTGAACCCATGTGTCGGGGCGTGGCTGGTGGGCAGTGGGCACTATTTTGTTGACGTTTTCCGTGTCAACAGGAGTGACACTCCGCACACACACAAGACCGCAATTATGGCAGAAGCAAAAAAGCCCCAAATATATCATTTTCACTCCGAGTGGGAGGATCATT